CCCTCGGAGGACGAGCGCTCCAGGCCCTGCTGTCGCCGCGTCTCTCCGTCCAAAGTGCAGCACAAGGACGGCGCGTGTGGCAAAGCCATTCCCGTGGAACCCACCCGAAGCACAGTGCGTTCGTTTTTAGAACCTGCGCTCCATGACCCCTTCGAACCGAACACCAGCGGTTGTCAGATTTTAACTCGTCCGTTCTGTTTTTGTGGTTTTTGTTTTGTTTTTGTTTTGCACCATCTTGTCCGTTTACTACAGGATTCGGGCATTGCTAAAAAGTTTTAGTAAGCGTAGACTCTTTTAAAAAGCTCTTTCCCCAAAGCGTATAGGATTTTTCGAGTCGTAAAAAGTGGAAATATCTATAACTGATTTATGTTCTCCTAGTAACCAGTTAGATAATTTAACTAGTATCGTTTGAGGTCTGTTAAGGAAAACGAGTAAGGAAGGATGGAAATTTTTCTTTGCCTTAATGCATAATTTAAACCATCAGCCCATCTGTAGCGTTAAACCCAGTAGGTTCTTGGCTCGCCTTTCAGATCCTTAACCAAACGAGGGAGCGAACTTTCAAGAGAAGAGTGCACAAAAGATTCCCGGCCCGATTACCGCCAGTGTTATGACCGCTGATAAAGACCTCGGTTGCTGGGGCTCTCAGCATGCAGGAGCAGCTTGGCTCCAGTGATCTTGAAATGAATCGGCAACAAGAAAAGAATGCGTGTGTAGGGTCTTGGGATCCAGCTCAGGGGCAGTGTCTGACCTACTCTACACCTTTCTCTGGACTCGTTTTGGCCAAGCTGTTCTCAAGCTATTATTTCTAAGGAGTGGCTACAAAGTATTAAGTTGTGTGATACTGTTACAGAAGCATTTCCCCAAATCCTCTTTGGCTAGGTAAGCAGCTTAATTGTGTTTTCCTCTTAGTAAATCAGGCATGCATTGTTACAAATGATTGTAAAATAAATCTGAGACTAGGTATTAGGCAAACTGTAAGGATGATGGGGTTTAAAGTTTTTAAAGTGGCCTTGTTCTTCAGTGTACATTATTTCCAAGTTTTTATTCTAATATTTTTAAAGATTTTTTTAGAAGAGGACATGTACTTTTTTCTTGTTCTGTTTTATTTATTTGTTGAGAATGCACACCAATCCGACAGTTCCTAGATGTACAATTTAATGACGTTAATGACTTTCTTCAGGTTGTGCGACCATTTCCATCCTCTTTTCTTGTTACCATAAACTCATTGTCCCCATAGTGTTCCTATCAGATCTTTCAGGTAGCTGTTGTTAATTTGGCTAAGAACATAATGCTCAAAGCAGATATCTTTTTTACTAGTTAAGCTAAACTATTATTTGCTTTTAAGATGACTTCAGGAGACGTTCACGATTTATGAGTTTTTAAAAAAATCATTTTATTGGGGTCTTGTACAACGCTTTATCACAATCCCTACACCCATCTATTGTGTCAAGCACATTTGTACATTTGTTGCCATCATCATTCTCAAAACATTTGCTTTCTACTTGAGCCCGATTTACGGTTTAAAGATTATCTCAATACGATAGTTTTAGGGATTCATCCTTCTTCCAAGACTCCAGAAAGTCTAGAGCCCAAGGGAATTTGAAATCCTTTTCTACACTCTCCCCACCTTTTCATCGGTCTTCTGTGAAATCTGATCAACATCTTTGTAATGGTAGGTGGGCCCCACCGAGTTTCTCCAGGCTCACGCGTGGTACAGGTAAAGGGTTATACCTTCATTGCCATCAAGTTGATGTTGGTTCACTGAAACTCAGTCTGTAGGGAAACGGAGAGCCTCCTTTTATGGGAGAAGAGCAGCTGGTGTTCTTGAACGGACCTGGGGTGAGCAGCCCGCCGCATCACCCCTCTGCCATGAGGGCTCTCCCAAAGTTTTATCATTCCCTCTCCGGAATTTTTTTTTTTAATGGAAATCTGACGTAGATTCAGACTCGTGTTCTATTTTGTAGTGATAACAACGGCTATTATCGGTATGACTTAATGCTTTGTTGAGTACTTTTGTGACGTAGTAGAGCCAGACGCTGTGAGGTACTTTATAAATCATATCTTCAGTCATATTGCTTATCTTAGAGCCCAAGTATCCTTGTGCCCCACCAACTCTCTAAGAGTCTAGATAACTGAGATCATATCACTGCTGGGATTCAAACTAATGGCCTGCCGGAGCCCAAAGCACTTGCTGTATTGCTTCAATGTGTTTAAATCTCTATGTTTCTGCTTTTCTCTTGTAGGGATATGATCTTCCTTATTAAATGCCTGCAGGTCCTGTGTTTTTGTGAACTATGCAGAACTATTTCAGTCCTTCTTTTAGGACTTATGCCTTGCTTTCATTACTTTACAATTCATGTAACAGTTTTATCTGTTTAATAATCTTTATGAAAATATAGACTAAGAGTAAATCTCTTTTGAGCTATTTACACGAATATGAATTACTCTTTTCTATACAGCAGTTACTCTATTAAAGCACAGCTTTCTTTCTGTTACAGAATTCTAGATTGCTTCAAAGTTCCTATTTTCTTTTCAGGCAAGAAATCAGAAAGCTTATCGGAAGCCTTTTATGTGCAAAGCAATGTGCCTAGTATTGAGAGAGGACGAAAGAGACTGCCTAGTTAATAATAGTCTTTCTTTTTTTTTTTTTTAATAATAGTCTTTCTAGATACTTTCTGGCCACTTGTTTCTCTGTCTCCTCATCCAGCCCTAGATGTGGCACCTAATAGGTCCAAACTTTTGGCTGTTTGTGTGTTGACAAAAAACAAAACTACAAGGCTCCTTGTTATTAACTCCAAGACTCAATATGTGCTTGAGCCACACATTTCGAGCTCCTCACAACTTGGTACCGCTCCACTTCTCAAGACTGCTCCTGCTGCTGCTAACCTGGTATGCTCGCAACAAAACCCATACACTCCCACCTCCTTGCTTTTTAGCTTGACCTATTTCCCCAGACTGCAATGCCTCGCTCTGTTCGCCTAATGTCTGTCCATCCTTCAAGATGCAGCGCAGACGTCCCTGCTCCATTGAGCTTCTTCACTTGATACTTTTGAATTAGAATTAATTTATTCTCTCCATGTCACCCCACAACATTGCAGAGAATAAAATCGTTTCCCCCCAAAGGACAGTGGTAGTCTTGGGGAGGAGAAGACAGTCATATTTAATATATCTTCCTACAAATGCTAAATCCAAACTCCCTGACCTTTTCTAGACATCTCTTAGCCTTTTTATATTTGGGTTTTATTTCTGCCTAAAAATGTGATTGTGGCAGGCTTCACCTTTCAAAGTCTTCTGTGAAGAAATCTGTTTTCATGCTGCTGTGCTGGTCATTTCCGATACGAAAAAAAAAAAATCAAGATTTACTTGATTTGACCTTTAAAAATAGCATTTGACATTTGAACTTTTAATGTTTGAAGCATATGAACTGAAAAAGGAGAGTCTGGATTTATGAACTCGAGAGCAATGCTCCATACCAAGGACGACTCCCGTGGTATGTCACTGTTAGGTTGTAAATAATCATACATGTATGTGCACATACATGTATACATTAATTGTTTTAAACTCTTGACTGACCAACATTGGTAGTAATAAATGTCACTTAGTCATGTTCTCTGGTGACTTGGTAATCAGTTTTTATCCAAGGTGTGTATTGCTTATTGTTACTAATAAGTTGTTTTTTCTGGCTTAGTGATGTCTTTATATGATTATATTTATCATGAACTTAATTATATGAGATACACCCTATTAATTGTATCCTCCTTGTTAGGGTGCTGTCATGGGCTGTTGGCCTCGAGCTGCAGGGTCAGCGGTTGGAAGCCACCAGCCTCTCTGCAGGAGCAGAGGAGGCTTTCTGCCCTGTGAAGAGTTGCAGTCTCAGAACCACAGGGGCAGTGCTTCCTGGCGCTTAGGGCCGCCAGGAGTCAAAATCGACTGTGGCAATGAGTTTGTCTTTTGTTTTTAATATTTATATTCTTAAGTAAAAATAAACCCTTGTTATAGCGAGACTCTTGAATCAAAACTGCATTGCTGGCGAAGAAGGTAACTAAGATTAGGAATATTGTATAGACGTAATCTTCCTTTTGCCGTTGACATTTTTAAGCAGTTGCTCTGTTCTCCACGACATTATTGTAATCATGACATTGTGATTTAGTTATACTTCTAGTTAACCTTCAATTATTTGTATAGTACATAAAAAGTAATACTGCTCACATATGTAAAAGGAAGCAGGTCATGGAATGCAAACCAGCAGTTTTAATGTTCAGTGTAATCACTAGCATAATTCAGAATGACTCCTTGTATAATTAAAGATAGAGTCCTTCTCTAGTTTCTCACCCTCTGGAAAAATCTTAAGTATTCAACATCTTCCAGACTTGTGTTGAGTAGCCCAGGACTATCACAGTAAGGGGCTGCTTGTGCAGTGATTGTTAGGTTCCTGTTTGGGAGCTTCGGTGGCACAGTCGGTAAGCACTCAGCTGCTAACTAAAAGATCATTGGTTGAAACCAAACAACCGCGTGGCAGGGAAAAGATGGGCTGGCTGTGATTCTGTGAAGATTGACAGCCTTAGAAAGCTTGTGATGTGGCTTTATTCTGTTCTAGGGTCAGCGTGAGTTGGATCGAGTGAAGGCTTCAGGTTGGAGTTTTTTGGTTCGGGGTAAGTATAAGTAGCCTAGAAGCCCTGGGCCACAGTGGTTAAAGTGCTCATCAGCTAACCAAAAGATTTCAAACAGGCTCCATGGAAGAAAGCTGTAGCAGTCGGCTTCTACAAAAATCACCGCCCTGGAAACCCCGGGGGAAATTTTTCGCTGCCCTATAGTGTTGCTGAGAATCGGAATCAGTGTGACAGCGGTGGGCATGTCAGGATTGCGTGAAACTAATGTTGAGCTGCACTCTTATCCTTTCCTGAGTAGACTTGTCCACTTGGTCCTCTGTCATTGTTTAATAATTGCAATGCTGAGATGAAGCTTAGTTGTTATCTAATTTGGAATTTCCCATACGGCTTTGATGACTATTTTGAGAATTGGTGGGGAGGGAGTCCTGTGCGTTCTCCGCTTACTAGTCCTCCTTGCCTGGCCCTTCTGAACTCTGTCCTTGAGGAGCTGCAGCCCGCTGCTCTCCAATGGTTGACGATTCTAGGGTGCACATACCTCCCTAGTGCTATTGTTCTCCTAACAGAATGTTGTTTGGCTGAAAATTCAGCCGGGGAGGATGAGTTCCGTTCAGACTTGAAGGATGGCTAAAGGTAATAGTTGGGGGGGGTTTTCCGGTTTTCCTTTTGCCCCTTAGGTTGGTTTTTTTTTTTCTTTTTGGTTTTTTTTCCCCTTTTTTCCCACTAGTCAGGACCCAGTGTGACCCTCTGAGTGGTGGTCCGTTAATCAGTCTGTTGGACTGACGTTTCTACACATCTTTGATGTTCTTCACGCGTCATCTCTATGGATAAGGAGAAACCCATATTTGCACCTTGCATGGCAAGCTTTAAGACCCCAGTTGCTACTCACCAAACTTGAATGTAAAAGAGCATTTGTCTTTGTGGATATATTAAACCATGTGGGGAGGGAGACTGTCTCCCTGTACTTTATTCAGAATGACTCTTAGGATGTTTATGAATCAGTTCCTTGTTTAAGATCTGAGTCCTCTCTGTGAATGTTTGGCTTCTTACAGAGGGAGTCCTGGTTGCATGGTGGTTAAAACACTCACCTGCTAACCCAAAGGTCAGTGGTTTGAACCCACCAGGCAGTCCATGGGGAGAAAGATGTGACAGTCTACTTCCTTGGTTATTATGACCTTGGAAACCCACAGAGGCAGTTCTCCTCTGTCCTGCAGGGTCAGCTTGAGTCAGAATTGGCATGATTGCAGTGACGTTGGAGGGCTTTCTTTTTTCTTGTCATATACTTTTTCTGTATTAACTTCCTGCTTCTACTGTTCCACTCTCAATTTTGCATGTGTTGCTCCTTATACAATGGAGCTGCAAAACGTTTGTGGAAAAACAGCATTAAAAGGTAATGGACATTTTCCCATGAACTTTTGAGGCATTCTTGTACTTTCCATCATAACTCTCTGTCCTGTTTCCACTTTATCTTATGATAAAGCGTTATTAGAAATCGGAGTTTGGATTAAGAGGAATCCATATTTAGTCCATCTGAAAATAAATTAGTGTCTGTGTACAGAGACTGACATACTGTGTACAGAGACTGACATACTTTGTCAGGAAAGACCAGTCCCTGGAGAAAGACATCATGCTGGGTGAAGTGGAGGGGCAGGGACAAGAGGAAGGCCCTCCATGAGACAGGCTGACAGAGTGAGTGTGTCTGTGGGCTCAGCCATCAGAACAGTTGTGTAGAGGGTGCAGGACCGGGCAGGGCTTCCTTCCGTTGTGCATCAGGTCTCTGAGTGGGAGCTGTTCAATGGCATCTAACAGCAGCAACAACAACATACCCAGACATGCTTTGAGAGGAAAACAGGTTACGTAGAGTAGTAGTGTGAGTGTATTCTAGAAATGCATGTTTTGATATCCTACTTTATGATCCTCATAAACATGTGGTGCATATTTACCTTTACCTGTACAACTGAATTCTAACACAACAAAACTTTATTTAAAGTGAATTTTCGATGTGCTCTTGAGTCTTCTTTGATATTTGTTCCTGACTTGAAACACTGCAACTGACAGGGATTTGGAGATTGTGGCTGTTATGCATCAGGGAACTTTATTCTCAAAGAAACAAACACACTGCCATCGAGTTGATGCTGATTCTTAGTGACCCTCTAGGACAGGGGAGAACTGCCCTGTGGGCTTCCAAGACTGTAACTCTTTACAGGAGAAGTAAGCCTCGTCTTTCTCTCGAGTAGCAACTTATGATTTCGAACTGCTAACTGTGTTAGCAGCCAATGCATTACCCACTACTCAGGGACTCCTAGAAGCATTACTAGAATATGGAATTTAATGACTAAGTGATCTAACCTAGAAGAAAAACACACTTACTTTATTGTCTGCTTGGCTTTTAAGTCACAAATAGTATAGATAAGCTGAAAGAGAGACAGGAGGTATAAAAATCTAACTATATCCTTCATTTTCCCCATTCCCTGGTTTGCAACCTTTTGATTGCCAGTGGAAAACACAGCCTGCATTTCTTTGATTAAGAACATTGCCTTTTTATGTAAATATATTTATATATGATAATGGGGAAATAGATATATGTGCATATATTTATAGGTTTAGTATTAAGGTAGCAGATGGACATTGGGCCTCCACTCATGTACTCCCTCAATGCAAGAATGCTTTGTTCTATTAAACTGGCATTCCATGATGCTCACCTTCCCGACACAATCGCTGAAGACAAAGTGGGTGCATAAGCAAGTGTGGTGAGGAGAGCTGATGGTGCCGGCTATCGAAAGGTGTAGCACCTGGGGTCCTGGAGGCTTGAGGATAGACAAGCAGCCATCTAGCTGAGAAGCAGCAGAGACTACATGGAAGAAGCACACCAGTCTGTGTGATCATGAGGTGTTGTTAGGATCAGGTATCAGGCATCAAAGAACAAAAAATCATATCAATGTGAGTGAGGGGGAGTGTGGGGTGGGGACCCAAAGCCTGTCTGTAGGCAACTGGACAACCCCTTATGGAGGGGTCGCGGGAAGGAGACGAGCCAGTCAGGGTGCTGTATAGCAATGATGAAACATTCAACTTTCCTCTAGTTCTTTAATGCTTCCTCTCCACCACCACCACTCCCCCCGCCCACTATCATGATCCCAATCTACCTTACAAATCTGGCTAGACCAGAGGATGTACATTGGTACAGATAGGAACTGGAAACACAGGGAGTCCAGGACCGATGATCCCCTCAGGGCCAATGATGAGAGTGGCCAAGCTAGGGGGGTAAGGGGAGGGTGGGACTGAGGGGAGGGAGCCGGTCATGGGGATCTGCATATGACCCCTCCCTGTGGGACGGACAGCAGAGAAGTGGGTGAAGGGAGACGTTGGACAGTGTAAGACATGACAAAATAATAATTTATAAATTATTGAGGGTTCATGAGGGAAGCGTGGTGGGGAGGGAGGGGAGAAAGTAGGGAGCTGATACCAGGAGCTCAAGTAAAAAAATGTCTTGAGAATGATGATGGCAATAAATGTACAAATGTGCTTGACACAATGGATGTATGTGTGGATGAGAGTGTACAAACCCCCAATGAAGTGATTTTAAAAAGGGAAACAAACAAATATGCCTTTCTTTGGACAATACATACAAGTATTGTCCACCTACCCTTATAGCAGAGCCTGCCTATTTGAATTTCTAATCTGTTAATTAAAGGTGAGGCAATCAGAGTTATGTAGTGGTGGAGATTCTGTACTTAAGTTCCGTAGCTTCTGTCACTTTCTGGAACATGGAAGAAAATACTGGTTTTGCTTCATTTCTTAATGGTCAGACCACAAGAAGTCGTGAAGTAGCAATTTGTTAGCAGTGAGTATGTGTTCCTTGTACATTATAGTTACGTCTCTGTGGAGCTGGGAGGTTTAACTTGACGACCTCTCAGCGTTCGTGGAAACCTATATTTTGTATTCCAGTTCACAGTTCTGTCATTACATTTTTAAATCCTAATTAGGAAATTCATATTTTCATATTTACTGCAAATTTTATTCATGTTGTGGCAGTAATACATACGCTTTGTGTTAAATATACAGTGCATTTGTTAATTTTATGTAACGAAGGCTTATGCAAGCTCAGTGCCATAGAGTGGGTCCCTGCTCATAGCCACCCACCGTCTAGCACAGAGCAGAGCTGCCCCTGTGGGTTTCCCAGGCTGCACATTTTTAATGGAGTAGAAAGCTTCATCTTCCCCCACAGAGCAGCTCGTGGGTTTGACCCACTGACCTTGTTGTGGTTAGTAGCTCAGCTGATAACCCCAACTGATAGGAGTTCTTCTAGCTCAGTGGTTCTCAACCTTCCTAATGCCTCGGCCCTTTAGCACAGTTCCTCATGTTGTGGTGAACCCCCCCCCCCAAAAAACCATAAAGTTATTTTCGTTGCTACTTCATTACTGTAATTTTGCTACTGTTATGAATCAGGCAACCCCTGTGAAAGGGTGGGTCAACCCCCAAAGGGGTTGCGTCCTACAGGTTGAGAACCGCTTTGGTCTACCTGGTTTTTACACCACTAGGGCTCCTATAAGGGGCACAGTGGTATCTTAGTGGGAGAATTCTTCCCTTCCAGATGGGAAGACCAGGATTTGATACGTGTCCAGTGTGCGTCAAGTGCAGCCATCCTTGTCTGTCAGCAGAGGTTTGGGTGCTACTTTGAAGCTGATAGGCATCAGCAGAGCTTTCTGTTTGAGACAAACGAGGAAGAAAGACCTGGCCATCAGTCTCGAAGGGCGGGGAGGAGCTGGCTGGAAGGCCACTAATGAAAATGGCAACAATGTGCAGGATGTTGTGCATCCCAAATAGTGCGCAGTGAATCCACAGTAACTAAGTTGATTATATAGAGTCCTTACAAGGTCAATCGTTGAATCAAGAATTGCTTTTTTGTTCAGTGACTAACTTTAAGAAATACTATTTAATAATAAATATGGAAATTACAATGTAGAAATAACTTTCTTTGGATACTCTCCTTTTGAGAATAATAAAACCAGATTGTAAATTGTCCTTAGTAAAATACTGAATAGTATTCTTTCTGTCTTACTGCTTGCTCTAATTGTGCAAAAAAAAATTGTTCTCTGTACATGTTTAATCAAGTAAAGTATGTTGCGAATTTATTTTACAGACGTGTTAATTTAACTACATGTTTACATTTTAGTAAGTGTAGAATAAATATACTTAGGATTGGTGAAAATTACAATTTCATTATGTTCTCATGGCAGGGAGAAATATTTAATTTAAATTCTAGCATAATGACCATACCTGTCCTTCTGCCTACATAAGCCTCATAGTGGATATAGGTAGAGAGTTTAACTCACAGCTTAGCTGTTGTATAACCGAAATGCCCATCGGCCCTGTTGCTGTGAATATCTACACTAAATCCCTTTGATCCTGTTTTTACTAAGGAAAAAGAGACACAGTGGATGAGACAAGAGGAGAGGTGTGAATGAGTAGCTGTTACTTCTCTATTCATCCTCTCTCAAGACCTTGCTTCATTTGTTGGCCACAGGAAGGGGCAGGAAGAATCACAGTTTGCGTTTTGTGTGTGCCAGAGTGGTTATCAATAAGAAAACTTGATTTTTTTTCCAGGAGGCTTTGTCAGTGTTTCCAAAACTGGTCCTTTTCACCTTCCTCCGTATTCCTGCTCCCTTCTGCTCTGCTCCGCTGTGCTCCCTCCAACACCTCTCCCATTTGCCAGAGCAGGGGTGTCCGTTATGGGAGAGCTGAAGTACTGGCAGGGATGTTGTGTGGAAGCGGAGTTGAGCTTTACTACATACGGCAATAGAAGGGTGAACCGGGACAAATGAAACAGAAAGAGTGATGAGCAATGGTGTAAAAGAGCGATTATGATGAGCATTATCTGCCATAGGCCCTTCCCGGGAAGGCAGCAAGGTGCGGGACTGGCTGATTTGTGGGGTTCCAGGATTTTGTGTGTGTGTCTATCAGGTATCGGATTTCATGTATTTGTCTTTGAACTGTCACCTTAAAGATGAGCGTTTATAGCTGGTGTTTCCTAGTTCTCTGGACATGGGCTCATTTCCATTTATCTTGTTCAGGAATTAGTGTGTTTCTTCACTCTACTGATTCTTGTGTTTCTTCAATTTTGAAAAATGTCTGGTCTTTATCACTAGAGATTTTGCCGTCACTCGTCTTTCTGTTTTCTTCTGGTGTTAGTGTGCCTTTACTAAATGCTCTTTGTAGTTCCCATGTCTTTATCTGTGCATGTTCTGAATTACATCTTCATGTGTTCTTCTCGTTCACGTATGGACCAGGACACCAAGTTCTTGATTTCAGTGCACACTGCAGTACTTTTAATGACAGAGGGAAAAAATACGCAAACCTAGAAATAACCCAGATGCCCCTCCACAGCAGAACTAAAAGTATGTGTGCAATGAAACCTGAACAACATTAAAAGTGAACGAATTGCACCCTTTGTCTCTGTTCACCGGGAGCAACAGAGGAAGGAGAAGATATAGGATGTGTAGTTTACTGCCTAAAAGAGCAGCTTCCTCCTTTGTCAAGAGGCCAGAAGAACGGGATAGTACCCAACTACCATTCCTGAACATTTTGATCCGCAGAAGAATTCTGATCAAAAGCGGGGAATGCAGAACAGAATTTTTGGCTCTAGACTTTCTGTTGCTATGGATGAACTTGTAAAATTACTGCACCGAGATAACCTTTACATCTTAAACCAAAAATATCTCGTGGAGTCTTCTCACAATAAACAGTAGTTCAGTTTTGCCAGTAAAAAAAGGCCTGCTTTGATTATTGTGCTCTTTTAAGGACTGTAGGGGATTAAATTGGCAACAGCAACTAGCAAGAGCAGCTAGAACATTAGAGGGCAGTGGGTGTGTGCTAATGAGAGAGGGACAACTCAGAAAGGGGGAGTGAGAGTGGTTACAAACTTCATGTTCATGTGGGTCACTAAGTGTAAAGGTAGAAACTATGGGTGTGTGTCTTGCTGTGCACATTCCCCACAACAACAAAATGAGATTCAAAAGGAAAACAAAAAAGAATGAATTGTAGCTGCATGCAATGAAATGAGAGGAATCTCTAAAAGTTGATATTGAGTAAAAAGAAATTATGGAAGAAAGTATAATATTACTCCAGTCATATAATCTCAAAAGCACATACAACTAAACAATACATTACCTAGGGCTACACACATGTGTTTGTCGGGGTAGACTAGAGAAACAAATCCATAGACACTCACGTGTATAAGAAAGAGCTTTAAAGTCCTCTTCAGACTCACAAAACACATGCAATGATGCTGATGCAGGAAGATCACAGGCCAGTGGGTGGGAAGTCTTGTGGATCCAGTGGCTTTGTAAGCATCTCAGTGTTGACAGGGGTCTCCATGTGGCTTCTCCAGCTCCCAGGGCCTGGGCTTTATCAGCATAGCGCCATGTGTCTTGTCAGTAGAGTGTCTCTCAGGGATTCAGTGTAAGAGAGAGAGTGTGTGTGTCTTTCTCCTCCAAGGAGGAATCCAGGAGTTCCCAGAATTCTCAGGGGAAGGCCATGCCCACACAGAGGCCTCATTGGCTTTGACCTGATTGACACACTAGACTCCACCCCTTCACTCTTAATCCTCTCAAGTCCCAAATTGACATCAGATTATGTAACTACCACAGCACGTGTTTAAGGAGCCCTGGTGGTGCAGTGGGTTAAGTTTTGAATGAATCACTGAAAGGTTGGCAGTTTGAGCCAGCTGCTCTGTGGGCGAAAGATGTGGCAGTCTGGTTCTGAAAAGATGTACAGCCAAAGAAAACCTAGGGAGCTGATCTGCTCTACCCGACAGGCGGCTCTGAGTCAGAACTGGCTTTATGACCATGGGTTGGCCAATTAGTATACAAACATTTGAGGTAAAGTTATAAAGATAAGCAAGGGACTGATGAATGGGATTCAGTTCAAAGGATAATTTTGAGGGCAAAGGAAAGTGGTAAGTTAGATTGTAGCAGCCAGGTGACTTTAAAGACACAGGTAATGTTTTTTTTAAATCGTAAACTGGATGGTGGTATAGAAATGTTAATTGTGTCTTTATTATTTGTACTTAGCACACACAAAGGGCGTTTTTTAAACTTTGGAAACATTGTTATCTTTCTGTTCCATTTTCCCATGAACTTTTTTAAGCCCCTAAATTTTCCTAAATTTTTTTCACGCCTACTCAATATAAGAAAGGCATCTTAAAGACACCCCGCCACCTTTAGAAGTGATTAATAGAATTATAGCCTAATTATCAGCACATAACTTCTTTGAAGAAATAAACTTAGGAGGTTAACATTGACTTGTTCAGGTAGTTATTGAATGTTCAGCACTCAGAGCTTTACGTAGCAGTGTTGGTTGTAGATACTAATACGATGCATGGTTCTCTCAGACTTTGTAACAGAAGAGATTACATGTAATGATTTTACTTCGACCCCAATTTAAAAATTAAGCCACAGTGTCATGTAGCTGCATCTGTATTTAGAAGCTCCCTGGCGGTGGTTGCGCCCTGTGCTGCTTCTCTCCAGTGACGACTGACAGCAGGCTGGGGAGTTAGCCATGTGATGATGCACCGCGTCGGGTTACTGGAGGTCACGCTTTGGAATTAGAACTTCGAGCAAAGCATCTTGTTGTATTCCTTTTGCAGAAATGTCGCTGAGGTGCTGCTGAAAGGGCCAGAGAAGCGAGGATTTGGGACACATTTTGAACCTTTAAGCTGTCGGGCATTGACCTCCTTTCCTAATTAATAAAGAAGAAGTGGGAGCTTAGGTGATATTAACACCACTCAGTAACATCCTAACTGGACGGTGTTCCCATAACTCTACCTTGTAAAGACCTGGACGGGAACAGAGTAAGGTCATCCGTATCTCACTCAGCTAATACTATGACTCAATGGAGGAACACTTGATAAGCATGAGGGAGGACCATTCTTTTCATGTCCGTTACAGGTAAGACTATTGCTTTCTTAGTTGGCGGTTTTTAACCATTATTTGAACATGTGTTTAATGCTAACCATTTCAGATTGAAATTTGAAAGTCATTCACAGGATGCTAGCCCTGAGAGCCTTCTGTGAACAGCATTTCTCTTTGTTGTGCTGTTGGTGATGGTCTGTACTTTTTCAATAGGAAAATGGTAATCAAGACCAATTATATACCATGGCTTATTTATTAGTGTTCTCTGGAAGAATTTCGATGAAATGTTCCTTTATGTCTTGTAACTATATTCATTCTTGAAAATGTAAAAGTAGAAGGCAATTTCAAAGTCTTCAGGGATAAAAAATAGATTTAAAAAAATATGGCCACCTGAATGATCTTTCACATTTTCATTTGTAAACTGATTATAAGTGAGCTTTTAAAAGAATGAGTACTAAATGAAGTTTGAACGGGCAGGTATTTCCTAAACAGAAGGCAGTATCCACTGTATTCCAGACGCGGTGGTCGTTGCTCTATCAATAATTATGACAGTGGAATGGGAGACAATTATTTGTAAGACGATGAGATACTAAGATGATTTATCAAATGGTTGTAAATTAATTATTAAACACATAGAACTTCATAACAGTGAGTAGAATTCAAAATCTTCGATGAGTGGAGGTATTTGCTATTAAATCTTAGATATCCTAACACCTTTAGGAAATAGGAGATTTGTCATCTTGTGGGATAGCTGGTCTATAGGGCATGGTGCCAAAGGTGTTCCATTTCTATTAAAAAATGTTATTTTAGACAGAAGAAAATTAAAACATTCAACATCGTTAAAATGAACTATTAATATATACAATACCCTCATCCTAATGAAGTCCTGCCAGATTTTCCTAAATTTTCTCAAATCAAGTTTCTCCTCTGGATCCTCCCCATTGCGACTGCGGTTCAGCCCCATCCTGTTTCCCCCGGACTGCAGCAGTCACTCTCATTCTCCCATTCTCAGTTTCTGGAAACCTCTCTTTTAAATTGGTTACTAATAGACTCTGTAAACCAAAGACTAACCATGAAACCTTTCTGTTTAGTGCCTCAGGGTGGCAAAGCCAGGCTTAACATAGCACACAAGACCTTCCATTATTGGAGTTCTGCCGATTCCTTCAGCTTACCTGCTGCCAGTCTTCTTTACCTTGTAATTTGAGCTCAGGTCCCTGCACGTGTCACGCTCTGCAATCCCCACTGCCTTGACTGCCCTTCTCACTTCCCGGGCTTCAATAATTCTACTCAGCATTTAAGTTCAACTCAGATATGATCGTCCGCTGGAAGCTGCTTTTGAACTTCATAGATTGGTTCTTGTAGACTCCCTGTACTCACAGAGCATCCTGTGCATGTATCTTTTTTTCAGCACTTAGAAGACATCTTCCACCAAAAAAAGTGGGGGAAATGAGGTTAAAAGATTAAAATTTTAAAAGTGTAAACTTTATTTCATAGTATAAACACCATCAAGTTCAATAATGCCAGCCAGTTAATCCAGCCTTAAAACACTGAGCATCCTGGGAATTTAACCATTTCAATAGATTCATTTTTACATTATTAGTGAAGAAATCTGCCTTTTGGAGATTTTTTTTTTTTTAAGATTAGGAAACAAAATCTCAAGAAGCCAAATTAAGACTGTAAGGTGGATGCCTAATGATTTCCCATCGAAACTCTTGCCAGGTTGCCCTTGTTTGAGGCGAGGAATGAGCCGGAGCGTTGTTGTGATGGCAAGGGGCTCTCTGGGAAAGCATGCCTGGGTATTCTTTTTTTTTTGCTAAAGCTTTGGTTACCTTTCTCAGAACACTTGCGAAAATAAGCAGATGTGCCTATTTGGGACCCTCCAGAAGTCAACACACAAAATGCCTTTAGCATCCTCAAAATATGTTGCTTTGACTGGATTTTTTCTACCCTGAGGTAACCATTGTTTGGACTGTGTTTTATTTTTCAATCCATACTGATAAAGCTTCATCACATGTTATAATTCTTTGAAGAAATGCTCAGGATCTTGATCCTACTTGTTTAAAAAATTCACTGCTTTGCTCTTGACCACAACCAATCTGAACACAACAATTTGCTCAACTTGAATTTTTCCATCAGAATTGTATAAACTGAACCGGTTGAGATGTCTGTGGTAATGGCTATTGTTTCTGTTGGTGACCATCACTCCTCTTCAGTTAGGACACAAACAAGATTGATTTTGTTCTTGCAAATTGATTTGGGTGGCCTTCAACTATAGGCTTCATCTTTACTATCATCTCATCCCTTCTTTAAGTCATTTATCTGTTTGTAAACTGATGATTTCTTTGCAGCATTGTTTCCATAAGGTTGTTGTAAAGCATCAATGATTTCACCATTCTTCCAGCCAATCTTCACCATAAATGTATTGTCTGCTCTTGCTTCAATATTAGCAAAACTCATTTCCTGTTGCTCTGATAGGGACTCTTTTCAAACTGATAACTTGCACTTTCTAGTGCTTCAAATTAGATCCTGTGCAGACTTGTTATAACAAGTTAGCATGAGTTTATTTGTTAAAAAATAAATCGGAAACCCATGCATAACATGCATTTTCATAATTACATCTTCCACAAATTTTCTGAAAAACCACTCATGCTATGTTAAAATTCAAAGGGCCTGTTTGCATAGCTGTCATCACCTCACTTACCTTACTCTTCCTGGACCATTAGCTCCTTTGGGGCAGCCATCACGTCCAGTATTTTATTTGGCACATAGCCCATATTGATATAGAGGCCTGTTGAACATCAGTGGATACAAGTAGAACCATCAAGTGACCCTAATGGATGTTTGTCTGTCTTGCCGAACCTTCTGAAGTGTGGTAAGGTCCCTAAGTAAGAGCAGTAAGAGCAGTGGGTAAGGAGGAATGCCTGTGCCTCTGCCTGTGCCTCTGCCTGGAGGGAAATCTTAGATCTGCCCTTTTTCCACGACACAGTACAGCTCAAGCGTGATGCTACACTGGATAGGACTGCACCAAGTGAACCTCAATATTCTGTAGCTGCAGTTGGTAAGATTACTCCTGGCTTCATCGGTTCTCTAAAATAAGATTTCTGCATAGTGATTGGATTGTTGTGCTATAGAAATATTAAGTCCCATGACCTAGAAGAAGTCTCCTGCTCTGGTAAATCTTTAGCATATTTGAAACATCTGGCTCTTCCATTGTGAAAGTTCTCATTTATCCCTGGAAGAATTTCTATTTCTGTGCCACAGTGACTTTATAATTTTGAAATGGAATATTTTCTTTGGACATTAAGGAACTTTTTGAGGGATTTCAGAAAGCTTTTGGAAATATTTGGGAAAGTAGAAGTAGATGGAGAATTATAGCAAAATGGAGTTAGTTTCTAAATCTTTCTGAAAATGTTATACTACTTTATGTCTTATGAAAATTTGACAATTACAGATATGAGAGTAACTACAAAATCATAGAACTCTTCACTAAACAAAAATATTAAAATGTGCAGCTATTGTTTCCCAACGGATCCTCCAGGTAGATCTACACGCCGCCGAAGATTCCATTTCCATCTCTCTGACCTTTCCCTGCAGAAGCCTGCACTCTCTGATGTGCACTCTGTCAAAACAGCAGTTTGCCCATCCTCGGGGAACTCAAATCTTGTTCTCTTGAGTGTTTTTTTAGTTTGGGGAACAAAAAGAGGCCTAAAAGAGCCCGAGCAGAGCTGTAGAGTAGATGAAGCCCTCTGAAATTCTCACAGGACGACCCTTGCTACCCTTGAAGAAGGAAGGTGCATTGTCAGGATGGGAGGAATACTCACTCCATGGTTCAATTTTCCTGGCCTTTTCTTGCCCATTGGTTTTCACTTTTCTTAAAACTTCTTCATAATAAGGCCCTGTGATCATCCCTTGTCCTTGAAGAAAATCTCTCAAGATTACCCCCTTGAGGATCCAGACCACTATCGTCATAACCTTCTGAAATGACCTGCCTTGATTTTAACTGGTCCGGCAGATCTTCTCCGAAGCCATTGTTTTCATTGGACTTTGCATGGAAGCACCAAGACGAGTGTGCTTCTGAGGGACTTGTCCGCAGCCATCCTTCAGTTGCAGAGCTCTGTTTTAACACCGTTGGGAATAGACGATGCACGTATGCACTAGACCACAGTAGCAGTGCTTTTTCACCAACCGCCACAAACTTGAAGGGAATACAATTCTGGTGTTAAATTCTTCTGTTTTGCTAGACAGATTGTTAATCATATTCTTGCCTGGAAAATAGTGTAAAAGTACACGTCGTCCCATGTTGGGAACATCTAATTTGCAGGCATCTCATGGCCATCAAGTTAATTTCAACTCCTCACAAGCCCGCGGGACAAGACACACCTGCCCCTGTGGGTTTCCCAGGCTGTAACTCTTTATGGGATTAGGAAGCCTCCTCTCTCTCCCTTGGAGCAGCGTAGTTTGAAACTGCCGACCTCGCGGTTAACAGTCCAACCTACCACACCACCGGGTTCCTTTTCTTGTGGTAAAGTGGTAAAGTAAGGCCAAATGAAAACTTACAACTTACCTACAGATTTTAAAAGACAGCTAGGGACTGCCAAGAATACTAGAGGTGGAGAACTCACGGACCTGGTGAAAAAAGACCACCTATTGAGTTCTAGCTGGTTTTCACTGCCTATGTTCAAATCACTTTTTAACAAAGTTACCGTACAAATTTTAAAGGAAGGCAGTTTTGTGTGCTTTTCCTTTTACAAAATAAGGTAGAAAAACAAGATTTACGTGGTAGACTGAAGAGACAAAACTGTTTCTTGGGTCTGGACTGACGAGAGAAAAAGTCCGTGACGGGCGAATGGGGAGAGACTTGAGCTAGAGTTGGAGCAAGCTCCCTCCCCACTGAAGATGCAGCACCGCCTCTCACTTTGAACTGTGAAGCCCTCGAGGGAGTGTCGACTTGGACAGAACAATCGTTTGAAACAAAAACCAGAAGAGCCCCACTGCTGTAGCGTGTGTTCTGACTCACAGCCACCGTATAGCACAGAGCAGAGGTGCTCATTTTCCTGAGACTGCACATCCTTCTTCTTCCAAGTGACTGGTGGGTTTGAACTACTGACCTCATGGCTATCAGTGCAACGTCCAACCACCACACCATTATTAAGTAGGACTTAATACCTACTTCGATTGAGTAGATCCAACTCATGATGACCTTAAAGGACAGGATAGAACTCCTTAGGGTTTCAGAGACTAACTCTTTTTGAGAACAGCCAGCCTGGTCTCTTCCTCAGAGCGACTGGGGGTTTGAACCACCTGTCTTGTGGTTAGCAGCCCAACACTTCTTACCTCATATAAAATGGTGCCACATTAAGGTTTTACCTCTCTTTTGGTTTGACTTATGTAGTGTGAACACAAAGAAACTAAATTTTAAGAAAAAGTCAAAATCTAGTGCAGCAGAAAACAGGAAATAAACACTAAAATAAATTGAAGCAACATGAGTTTGTGAGAAAATGAGGACTCAGAATTTAAAAGTTCGATTCATTATGAGTAGACATGAAAACTGTTCAGTCAAGAGAGGCGCTGTTTATGTATAGGGAGAAAAGCACTCCCTTAATCACACAGCTAGATAGACCATTAGGGAGAATCAAAGAGGCTTTGTGGGGGGACACATTTTAAAGGGGAGAGATTTTCCTGGTTTGTGCCCTACATCTGGGCATTCTTTGTTTTGACCCAAGTGGGAAATAACACATGAAGTAATTCTATTCTCATAGAGAAAAGGGGATAGGAAATGACTCTCGCTGTTACTATTTAATGACCTTCTGAAACATTTATAAACTAACCTGCCCTGATTAAAAAAGAAACCCACTGCCATCGAGCTGATTCCAACTCTTAGCAGCCCTGTAGGACCGAGAAGAATTGCCCCATAGGGTTTCTGGGGCTTTCAGTCTTTACCAGAGCAGACAACCTCATCTTGCTCCTGAGGAGTAACTGAGGGGTTTGAACTGATGACCTGGCAGTTAGCAGGTCAGTGTGCACCCTCTCACATCACCAGAGTTCCTCTTGCCCTGATTAGCTGTTAATAGTTTTGCTATTAGGTATATTATTTGATTGAGGTACTGAGGGCTTTTACCTGAATTATTGATTTCATTTCTATAGGATATATCAGAGCCATAATGTAGTTCAGAATTAATCATAAGCTAGAGTTTGGGACTTTATTCAGAGCACTTGTTACTGAAATAACTTTTCCTAACGTAGTTTTCTCCTACGGTCCATGGCCACAAAGCCGCAGGCTTGTTATCACTGCAGCTAATGATAGTTATGTACAACTCCTTTTTAAAACAATGTATAGCTCTTAGTACACAATGAGGCCTAAAAGTTAAACTTTGTGGGACACAGCCTCATTTGGATGGATGATTTCAATGCAGCGTTGTTGTCTGTTTAAATCCAGAGGGAGAGAGATGTGTGGCATGGTTACTTATTTGAAGAAGCCCCCTCCCTGCTTTCTGCGAATGTAGGCAACACTGTGGTGACGTCTAGTCTCCCTGTGCCTTGCTAGAAATGGCCAGTGGCACTGGGTCACTAACTCAGTCATCCTGAATGGATGGTGCTGCTTGCCATGCGGCTGACTAGCCCTCTGCCCATCACTCACGAGTATTCTAATGTAGAGCGACATATAAGTTTGTAAGCATTACTCGATTGAGGGATACGTAAGGTGTTTGGAGGGTCTGGTGTTTTGCTGCAGTGAATATCCTTTTATAAGCATCTTTTTCAACGTGTTTAAATACAACTTTAGGATCAATTCCTAGCAGTGCAATAGGACATAGGAGGAGGCTTTAAAAGTTTGTGGACAATGGAATTGAAAGATAATGGAATTGTTCCCAAAGTTGTTGAAGATCCCTCTTGAGCGCGTCACTAGGTGGTGGAAAGGTGAAGCCCTTGACTACAAGCTGAAGGGTGGTGTTCCGAACCCGGCCAAGGGCCTGGGAAAGTCAGCCCTGGCACCCTGCTTCCTAGAGGCTCAGCCCCGAGAACCCTGCGGAGCCACC